TGCTCTGCTAAGTGAGCCCAGAAGAGCTGTAGTATTTCCCTCCCAAGCACAAAACAGATGGAAGCTCACAAATGCACTGAGAGCCATCAGAAATAATTGTACTTTAATTAATTGATCCTAAGCTCTGAAAGAATGCAAGAAGTAAATTGTGCATGGCTACGTGCACTGCCTGAACGACCAAGCAGAGCCCTTTTGTTGTTAAACACATTTCATTATCACCAAAAGCACAGATTTTGAAAGCCTCTGTTTTGCCACAAACGGCTGGCAAAGCAAACCATCCTCTTCAGAAGACCACAATATTTAAGTTCTCGACACAGCGTTTTCCCTTGGAAACAGATAACTGTGCCATTAGCTGGATCTTCAAGGCAAATCCTTCTCTGCTAGCGGATGGCTCAGGAGTCACACTTGTAATAAGATGCAATTATCAATCCACGCTGATTACTTAAGAAGAACAAAATTTGAGGCATGCACAGTGCTCACAGTGAGAACTAATTGTAGATCTGCACTGAGAATATAGGGATAAGAAGGACAACACCTGAGCATTAGGAATTCTTGCACAAAAAGTTGCAGGAATAAAGAGAGAATTACTGACACCTGAAAGCCTTTCCTACTGCGGGCTGCATGCATTAAGATAAAAGTGACAGATGAAATCATTTCCCAGCCAGCTTCCATACATGGCAGAGTAACAACCCAGTCCTTTAGCTTCTCCCCAGCAGTTAATCTAGATTACAAAGTATCATTTATCCTACTTGCACTTTAAAACTGTACTCTTCACCATTTAATTTTCAGCAGTCAAATCTTTGGTAGGAACACCTCAAATCACAGCAACATGTTTCAGACTTTAACTGCTGCCTTAACGCAGCAATGGTCGCTAATAAAAATTTGGCATAAGTGTCACCATCTCCTCTCTCACAGCACTCTTCATTCTTTTACACAAGCATTATGGAGAGCACGAATCACATCCTCTGCCTCTATACAACCACATGGCTGGAAACATGGAATCTTCATCAGGAAGATGGTCTGTATTATGGATAAGCAGCGTTTCATTACCCATAATCAAGAAGCTTCAGCTAATAAATTATTTCAGAAGACAAACTGTGCACTGCGACACAAAAAGGTATCGTTGCCTGGAAGTAAAATACACTGATGTTCTGTGTACCCCACTAAATATACCATACATGAGCTAGGGATGTTTTCACTCTCTAGACATGTGGATTTAACCTACTTTAACACCTGCAAGTTCCTCCCCTCCAGTTATTTGTTCTACTTTCCCGGGTTACCTCAAGTTTCAAACATAAAATGCTCATTCCTATACGGCAGCATAAATATCTGCATCTGTAGAGAATATTTATGTACATTTAATGTATTTCTTACAGTTTGGCAGTTTGTAGAACACTGTGACTATCTTCAGCACACCCATTTTCAGAACTTGGTGTGCCCATTGCCTGCTGGCACAGCTGGAACCATCAGCAGTGAGCCATTACGACAGAGAGCTCCATAAACCAGCAGGTAAAGGCAGTCCTATCCCACAGACTTCACAATCACACAGAAATTGCAGCAGCAAAATTAGCTACACACCTTAGGACACAAGGGCAGCGTTCAAGCAAGAGGATAGCTTAACAGTACTGATTTTTTATTTTTTTTTAAGGATTTGATGCATTTTTAACTTGTCATCACTTAGTTGGGTGGTATTTCTTTTTAGGCCTTGTAGGAGAAAGCAGCATCCCTGTGACAGCGATTTTTCCCAGTGCGCTGCAGTGATATTTAATGCTGATGCTCGTGTTTCTTTCCCCAAACCTTTTCCCCTTTTACAGACGAGACAAATAACAGACGCCCAAGGTCACCAAACAACAACGTTAAGAGACAGCCAAATAATCCAGGAGTCCTGACGTCCACGCTGTCTAAATTAGGACATGATGCGAAGAAAACATCGCGCTGTGCTGGCAGCGAGGCACGACGCACCAGTGGCCCTTTCCCGGCGGGCAGCGCTACCTGAGCTCCGTCAGGGTGAGGCGAGGCCCCGCGGGTCGCTCCCTGAGGGCCGGGAACGGGCACGAGAGCGGCTCCCAGCCCGGCCCCAGCGCTCTCCACGGACCCCCCCCGGGTACGTCCCCAGCGAGCCCCGCTCCTTACCCAGGTAAATGTCGCCGAAGGAGCCGCTCCCGATCTTCCGGCCCAGTCGGTACCTGTTCCCAACCCTCAGTTCCATGGCGCCGGTTCGGTTCGGCCGCGACCCGGTTCTGTCGCCCTGCCCACCCTGCAGGCCCGCGCTCTTCTGTCTCACAGCCCCGCCGTTCCCGGTGCCATCGCGGCCTCAGTCCCACCGCTCGGTGCTGGCGAGGCGGGCAACACCGCCCTCGTAACTCCTGAGAAGGATGGACGCGGATTCCCCACAACGCCGACCCCTCAGCAACTCCGGCCCCGAGCGGCCATACTGCGTGACCTCACTTCCTTAGCAACGGGGGCGGGGCGCGCTGCCTGTGGCGTTGCTAGGGAGCCGCCATATTGCGTGACCTCACTTCATTAGCAACGGGGGCGTTGCCGGGGAGCGAGGGTGACGTCCTGCTTCCGCGGACCAGTTTGGCTGCTCATCTGCCCTTCCCGCCGCGCTCCGTAGACCGCGCAGCCGGCCCGCCAATCGCTACCGCGCATGCGCTTCCTCCCCTAACCTGTCTGCTCCGCCAGTGTCTATGGTCTCCGGTCCTCCAGGCAGTACCACGCATGCGCGTACAACGCGGTAATGGAGTCTCTTTGCTTTTACCGCGCTGCGCCGCCAGTCTTCCAAGATTTATGGTTATCAGCCCTCCAATTTCCCAATGAACGTCGTCTTCGATCCTCCAGGCAATAACTTTCACAAAAACATAAAACAAACTTCCACATGCAAAATAATCTTTTTTTTCGTTCACAAATAAAGGCAAAAAAAAAAAAAAAAAAAGTTAAAGTTCAGCTCTGTGGTAATGAGTATAATTTAGACCAAGACGTTACAAACATCTAAGAAGCAGTATTTTCCAATGCTATGGGAAGAATTAAAAACACCCTGCAGTCATTCCAACAGCCCTCGTTACCAGTTACCAGTTGCTCACTGCAACGCCTGTTTTGCAATGCAACTCCTGAGAAACGAATCAGAGAAATTAACAGCAAAGAATTGTTACGTTAAGCAGGTATTCGTTCTTAGTGACACTGGAAGCACTGTGGATAATTACGCCATAAGCGCTTCTAAGGCTTCCACAGATAGCACACATCCATAATTCCTTCAGGAAGCAATTAACACACGCACCCATCTCAAGTAATGGTCATCTATTTCATGGTTTCTGCTGCCATCTAGTAGCCTTTCGGTATCACGACAGTTCACTCGGCAGCTTCCCACTTCCTCCACCGACCTTCCTCGCCTGCCCTCTAGGTGAACTCTCTTCATTAAGGCACGCTCAGTAGACGAATGCCTATCACAAGTAATTTATAGGCACCGAACCCGTAACATTTGCCTACTGATGCACATCTGTCAGTCCCGGGATAGAAATAAGTTCAGCATCCTGTCCTTCACTGATATGCTGGAGAATCAGAAGGGAAGGAGGATAAGGGGAGTATTTCAATGCCAGCCTGTCACATCCCAAGCTACACCCAAAATAGGGCAAGTCAGCCTCGTGGGGAGGCCCTGGCCTCTTTGATGCTCAGTAAGCCCTCTCATGCCTCTTCATTCTTGTGTTTCTTTTGCTGAAGATCCCTGGTTAAAGCAGAATAGCCTCCCAGCATGCTTTCTAGCTTTTAATCCATAACTACATTCATTACTATTCACAACATCTAAAAGCAGTCGCAGTTTTGCAAGCAAGAGTGGATCATATCATGCAATTCAACAGCCATATTTATAAGGATATGCTACTAAAATATGTGGTACATTTACTCCTTCGGATAATGCTGAATGCACTCTCCATTGAATCTGAGCATCTGGAGGATGTGGATGGCATGTTCCAACTCCTAAACAGCCACGTTCTAAAACACAGAGGGGGGAAAATAAAACAGCAGACCAACCTAAGAGCCAAAGCACAGCACTGAAGCAAGGCCTGAGCACAGATGCATGCCACTCCAAGACCAGGAGCTGCTAGGAAGGCAGAGGAAAAAGAGAGCCCTCCTGCACCTGGCTTTCAATTGAACAGCAGCCCCAGGGATGCCTGATTGCTTATGGGTCTCAGGTGGGACCTGCTGGGTGCTCAGCAGCATGTAGGGTTTGAGTATTGCGTGCATGTTCCATCCATCTAGCCAAGCCTGGCTTAAGGAGAACAAAAGCGTGTGCCCTGGGAAGGGGCTGGAGGAGTCCAGAGGGTGGCAGGGGTGCTGCTCCCACCTCACCTGGCCCAACAGGCTCCTCATCTTTGTTAAGGCCTCCAGGCACCATCTTAATGTTCTCTGATAATATTTCATCTGCTTCATCCAATGAGGTTGGGCTCATTTGATTTTTGCAAAGCACCTTTAATTACCATGCAGTTTCCCTGTTGTTATAAGCAGAACCTCCACACACATTTTCAACAATCCAAGACAGGCTGAGAAAACACTGATACGGCCCACGTGCCTTCATTCCACTGTCATTACATTTATCCAGTGGTGAGATTTTGGTGCACAAACATTTAAAAGAAAAGTGACAGACAAGCTGACAATAAAAAGCATAACATTAATTTGATCATTTTTTAGACAGGCACCTATAAAATTAGAGCAGATTTCCCATGTTTGGAGACTGTTTCCCTGGAAGATTGCAGAGGTGCCTTCTGCCATGCCATGCCATGCCCAGATCGGTTTGTGTTTCTTTTCCAGACAGGATTTTTTTTTTGCTTGGACAGGGCCCAGATTTTCTTTCTGTCAGATAATCACAGCAGCACTCTTCGTTTGAGTCTGTTTCTGTTCCCCCCATTGTTTGCTTGATGAGGTATCTGAAAATACATTTACAACAATAACAGGTCTCAAAGTTCACCTGCTGCTGAGTCCCTCCTTTTGCCCGCTCCCTGCAGTCCTGCCCTTTGTACTTTAGCATGCCTACTGTCTTTCTCAGCCCGGCACTCATCACCTCCCATCTAGCCACACCATTCTGCAACAGGCAAGCAACTGAGAGAAGTAGGGAGAGACCAAGTCTCTCCTTTTTTACCTTGGAGTAGGAAGCAGGTGAGTGCTGGGGCTGGGAGACATTGGTATGAGATGGGAAATGGCAGAGCTGTGAGGGGGTTCAGCTCTTGGTATCCCTCCCACCCGCTCTAAAGGAGTCTGCCTCCACGGAAAGCTTCCTCCATCCCGTACTCTTTGATGCTGAAGGAAACAGGTGAATGTTTCTGACAGGTTCTGTGCGCTTTTGCTCTAAGACAAGGCAGGAAAGGCTTGGCGGGGATGCTGGGCTGGTGTTGTTCAGAGCAAGTGGAGTTTCAGTGAAACTAAGGGCTTTGCCTGGGCATCCCTTCTTACCAGGTTGGATTCCAGGGAGGCATTGCAGCTTTTCTGTCACTTTATCTGCTGGAGCAGGACACCAACTCCTGCCTATCTGCAGGTCTGCTCTCAAAAGCAGCTGGAAGCGATCACTAATACATTGTCTTTTCTCCTCCAAACATACCTAACAGCAGGAGATACAAGAAAGGAAGCGACAAAGAAATTCCCTGGCCAGTGGTGACAGGGAGAGCAGTGACAGCCAGGGAATGGTAAGTTGTCATCAGCCTGGGAGAGTCTGAGACAAAACAAGGGACAAGAAAGAAGGGGACAGTCTCTTCATCAGGGTCTGTTGGGATGGGATGAGGGAAAATGCTTTCAAACTAAAAGATGGGAGGTTTAGATCGGATATAAGGAAGGAGTTTTTACACTGTGGGCGGTGAGGCAGTGGCACAGGTTGCCCAGAGAGGCGGCGGTGCCCCATCCCTGCAGACAGCCAAGGGCAGGGATGGGCTGTGAGCACTGATGGAGCTGTGGGTGTCCCTGCTCAGGGCAGGGGTGGCACCAGATGGCCTTTAGGGTCCCTTCCAGCCCCAAACATCCCATGATTCTATGATTTTGGAGATTCCCAAGGAAGCTGCAAGGAAGCTTGCATCCAGTCTAAATCTTCCCTCTTTTACTTTGAAAGCATTTCCTGGTCCTACCACAGCCCCTTCTTACAGGTGCTGAGAGGCTGCTATAATAAATATAAAGCAGCAGTGAGCATCAAAGACCTGGGTCAGGTTTCTTCTTATTTGTGCTGCAGCGTTCTTGGATACTGAAAAATAAAATAAAAATGATGTAGAACTGAGCAAGAGGAAATGGTGTTTTGCCTTAAACCAACGTCTCCCATGCAGTGTGCCTAACTTGTTAATGATGACAAATGAGTCAAAGAAAGCCAATTCCTGTCCCTCTTCTCCGTGTCAGGAATTACTCACCTTCCCCTCCCATCTGATGCATATCATGTACCTGTGTTCTGTACCTGTACAATACTTCCTTATTTTGTAATATTTCTGAACACTGCCTATGCAGAAATTAATCTGTTGCCTGTCAGTGAGTTACCCAGCCTCAGCAGAACAGCTCAGGGCTCACGTTGTTTCATGCCTGGTACCCCAGTATTGACTTGCTCCCTTTCCTCACAGGATGTAGAGCTGCTGGAGATCCCAGCAGAGCTTGCAGCCCTCCTGCAGTCAGCTGGAGGTGAGAAACCCTTCCCTTCCTGCACTCTTTTATTCCCTGTTTATTTGCTCGTTTCCTAGCAGTGTGTTACCTACGTGCCTGTTCCGCCTGCTGTCTGTCACCTGGGTCGTGCTTGATTTATTATCATTGCAGTGTAAATAGGATATAAAAGCTAATTGTGCTCTATATGCATTTTTGTTACCTTTTCAGTTCCCTGGCGAGCTGTGCTGATAGAGCTGGTGATAATGTTGGTGCAAAAGTGTTTGGTAAAAGTTCTGTGACAGTGAAGTGTTTATTTAATGAAACCAGGTCTCTTGCAGAGCTGGATATTGGAGTCTGAGGTCTCAAACCCATTTGTCTTCTCAAAAATCCTTAAAGAAATCAAGGGTTAAGAAGTTAAAACTAGAGTTTTGGCACTTCCAAAGAAATATATACTTTTTTCCCAGCGAGGAAAACAATATATATATTTTTTTCAGTGGCTTGGAGGCCAACGTTCACTGACAGTGGTGAAGATGAAGCCTTCATGTGCTGGGATATAAACAGGAAGAGAAAGGAAGGGAGAAATGTGTCGGGGGACACATTGGGGTCAGGATAGAGAAATGCACAGAAGTTGTGCAGCACTGAGAATTCCCTTGGCTTATCAAGGTGCTTGCTCCTGTTTATGATAACCCCATATCCAGTGCCTCACGATGACCTCTGATTTAACTGTTGACTTAACACTTGTCAACATTATCTCTGCATAGATTTAATGTTCTCTGCTCCTTAAATTCTATGCAACAGAATTGAAACTGCAGGTGCTGCATGCTCCCTGGATGTTACCTAGGGATAAGAGTCTGAAAGAACTGAGCTGGAGTTAAGTGCTGTGGTTTCAGGGCAGAGAGGAGATGCCTGCAAGGGGGTTTGGGGCAGCAGGGATGGACTGTGTGTCCCTGGAGACAGAGGACTGGTATGAGGACACTGTTGCTTGATCAAGAGTAGACGTGTGGAACAGCCAGCCATGCACTGCACTGTGAGTTGGGTGTGTTCTAGCTGCCATGACCCAAGACCTCCTTCTCTTGCAGGTCAGTATGCAGCACAGGCCAAACAGATAACTGAAGCTTTGCCTCCAGAAGTTAAGGTCAAAGATGACCTTTCCCTCCCAGCCAACATCAACAGCTATCCTTTCTCCTCCTTCATTAAGTCATACTTCCAGGTGGGAACTCTATTTTTCTTCATTGCTTCCCAACTGGAGAAACAGACTGGTTCCAGTGACACCAGGAACAAACTGCATATTTTGTCCTTGTGTTTCTTTTCAGAGGACAGATTTCCCTGCCCCTGGTCATCCCCTGCAGCAGCCCTTAACACGCCTGGAAGCTGAATACCGGGAGAGCGCACTTGAGATCAATAAACTGGTAAGAGATGTTTTCTTTGACCAGGGCCTTGTGGAAGAACAGATGGGCATAAGACAATCATAGAACTGCAGGATGGTTGGAGTTGGAAGGGATCCTAAAGGCCATCTGGTGCCACCCCTGCGCTGAGCAGGGACACCCACAGCAGGGATGGGCACCTCCTGTATGGGCAGCTAGATGCTGGTGGTGGCTCGTCTTACAGTACATGGTGTGTTAAGAGAGCAGAATAAATTCCTGTTCCTTTGAGGTATTGGAGCAGTCTGACAGCCTCTGGGCGTTGTGTTCTTGGTGTGATATAAACCAATTAACAGGTGAGATCAATGGGATCCCAGCCAATTGCCTGGTGATGTACTCTCAAAACTTGGCTGGACATATTGAAATTAGACTGCTAAGCCTCACTTTCACAACGTTCCAGATTCAGTAGCCATGACATTGTAAGGGAGATCTGGCTTCTCTCTCCCTCAGTCACAAAAATGTTTAATTTAACCCAGATTTTTTTCCCCATTATCTGGTTTACAGTAAACACATTGGTAGTTCCTCAGACACGCAGTTAAATCAATGCAGTATGTAATAGGGGACAGTGAACTGTTGTATAAAGGCTGGAAGAAGGCAGGGACTTTGTCATCAAGACGACTACACCTGGAACCACACCCTCAAATCTGTAGTGTTGGCATAAGGAGAACAGTGTGACCTCCTCCTCCCTGTGGATGGGAAATACGTTTCTTAAAGTCATGAACAACTCCCTGAAAATAGAATGAAACTAACGAGAGTAAATCCATTAATCCCTTTGAGAACTACATGTTGTTAAAATTAATATGCATGGCCAAGAACCCAAATCATTGCTTAGGTGAGTTGGTTGAGCATAACAAATCTGCTGCTACTTGGTATAGTGTTAGCTACACCGAAGTCAGTTTACCATTCAGCAGAGCTTCCTTATGTCTGAGCTGTCTGAGCTCTGCACAGAGATCAGCAGAGCACCAATTTCATTTACCTGTTTGTACAGGTAGGCAGCCTGCGGGCTCAGACACACTAATGAACCTGTAGTAATTTGCTCGTGGATCCGAGCTCTGATGCTCAAAGAAAGGGAAGTATTCTGACTACGATTTTGCTCTTGGGCAAAAGCATAACTCAGAATAGCCTGAAGAGTGAAGTGAAGAAGTTCTGATTTCTGGTCAGGGTCCTACCCTGATGAGCACTGCCTCCCAAATTCCCCAGAACTTTGATAGTGCACAGAAGATAAGAGCAGATCCAGATCTGACTGCTGGGTGCTCTAAGGCTCACAAACACACTGTGTCTACTCTCCAGTTGCTACTTCATAATGCAGTTCAATCCAGAAAGCTGCAGCTAAAGCTGTTTCTTTCCCCCCATGAATACTTCTAGATTTTGCGGTTCATTGGTGACAAGAATCTCCACGGCTGGCAGGAGGTCCTTCTGGGCAACTACATTGCTGGGAGAGGTTTGAACAACAGGGCTCTGCGCAACGAAATCTTCAGCCAAGTGGCCACCCAGGCATGGAAGAACCCAGATGTGGAACAGAGCCAGCGAGCCTGGGTCCTGATGGCGACGTTACTGAGCTCCTTTGTCCCTTCACCAGCACTGGAGAAGCCATTGCTGAAGTAAGGAGGAGAAAAGCTGCGCTTTCAGGGAGGTTAAGAGAGATGAGAAATGTGCTGAAGGCAGATATTTCTTCCTAGGTTTGTGTCAGATCATGGCATGGATGGCTACAATGCTGTTTGTCAGCGCAAGATCTTGACAGCAGCGCAGCACGCAGAATATGCATCGTCCCGTGTGCACCCTCCCACTCAACTGGAATGGACTGCAAACAGGAGGAAAGGGAAGATGGTGCTGGATGTTCATACATTTAATGGTAACTTATGTGTGCTTCTAGCTCCTAAGGACTTACCAGTGCAGAAATCGGTGTTCAGAAATGCTCCCACCAGCTTAGTGCAGAGTGATTGGATCAATTGCAGCTGGCTGGTGCTGCCATGGGGAATAGAAGCATCTGAATCCAGACCCCAAACTCTGAAAGATCTGACCCTGATGAGCCAGGCCTGCTATTCAGGCTGAGGGATGAGATTCTTCCGGGTTTGGGCCAATTTCAGCAGAGGCCTGTCCTGCTTGTACATCTCTCTGGGTCCAGTTTTCCTGTTACCCATCACTGCACGACCCATGCTGCAGCTGCTAATGCCTTTGCTGCAGTGGCTTTCTGAGCCTTTCTTCCTTCTCAGACATTGATTTATGCTGCCCCGTGAGCCCTTGGAATCAGTGTGAATCAGATGCAAAGCATCTCCACTTCAGCTCTTATGGTGGGTGGGGTGGTGGATGACCCACGTGAATCATGACACTGCAAAGGCTTTCAGCTGTCACACTGGAAATGCTTTGAGATGTGCCATGAGCAGTTCTTACGAATGCAAATGTGTTCATGCAGAGCCTTCTGTCTACTTTCAGTCCCTGTGTGTCACCTGAGAAAGGTGTGAGACTTTCCATCTGGTCTCTGCCTGCGCACTGCAGAGCTCGGATGTTGCTCTGGGTCCTGCTGGGGGGCAGTGTACACTGATTGTTTCTTTTACGTGCTAGATGAGAAGTTCTCAGCTGAGGTGGAGTCCTGGATGACCGGGGAACAGTTTGCAGGATGGATGCTCAGTGCAAGGTACTGCCAGAGGACAGGAGATTCTGGGATGTGAAAGAGTCTATGACTGGTTTTAGAGTCCAGAGCGATTGGGCTAAAATTTATATGGTCAGATATGGATGGAATAGCTACTCCTTACCAACTCTGGATCATGTTCTCTCCTTGTCCCTTCCATCCGTTTGCATGAACTGTGGGACTCCTGAGGAACAGGGGAATCACTGCTGTGATCAGTCAGAGCAGCTTCAGAGAAAATATTAAGACAAATAAAGTCAAATTATGGGTGTTTCACTTTTTTTTCCTGATTCTAGGTGCTTAATCATTGATTTACATCCTAAAGCTTATGGCTACAGAAGGCAGGATGAAGCTGAATGCAATGTTTTCCTATTTCTCTCTTTCCTCCTGCTTGCTCTCACACCTTTTCTCTCCTTTTCCCTGTTACCAGGGGCTGTGATAAGAGGTCTCGAGGGTGGTCTATCTCCATGCTAACTGGCAACACGTGGCAGGATTTATTGGGCAGTGACTTTGTGCTGGACCTCATTGGAGAGATGGAGGAGGCCAGCAACCCCAGCAGCCCCTCTGCGTCCTCACAGAGATACCCCATTGCTCCTGAAAGGGACAGAAACTTCCTCCACAACTCTGCCTTGGATCTGTGAGTCACCTCATCCTCCTGCCCCGCACTGGTGTCCCTATTGCCCACTGCCTATTCTCTGTGCTGTTCTCATCTCATTTTCCCCTCCAGCAGGATTCCCCCTGCCCCAGGCATCCAGGCCCCTGCCTTCCCCCCGCCCAGACTGCCTCCAGAGTCCAGCAGTGCCCATCGAGGTGAGCTCTTGCCCGGGACACTGCACAACACTGGGTCACCTGTGCCCCATCCAGGGAATCAGAGCAGATGGGGGAAAATCTTCTCGATGGGTTCCACTCCAAAATTTGACTAATAGGGTCTGAAGAGAGGGGAAATGTTCCTTACCTGCCTTATCACCAGTTTCCTCTCCACCTTTAGATTTTGGAATCAGAGATGAGATGGTGACCCCTGGAGGTTTGGATCACTATGTGGACGATCTCTTCAGCCCTGTCTTACATCAGGGCTCCAGGACACCAGTGAGTCCTCTGATGTTCTCTCTTATTCTCTGCAGCTCTCCTCTCCCCATGACTCCTTCTGGCCATCCACTCTGCCTTTGCTCAGCTCAGACGTGCCTTTGGATGGCATTTTACTGGGAAGTCCGTCTGTCTGAGCTCAGCAGTGCTGTTTTTTTCTTGATGCAGGATTTGGACAACAGGGAAAGCCTGACCAGGCGCATGAAGGGAGGTGGGAAGATCGGACCCACACAGAGAGGAATCTTTCCTTCCACAGGTCTGTAAGGGGAGGTGGGCAGCTGGAAACACGTGTGGATAAGCTCCAGTGAGCACAACGCAGGGAATCCCTCAAATGTTAGTTACTGCGTGGGTTCAGCTGGTTGAAAAAAAGCATTTGAGTTTAGCCTGGGTCATCAGAAATTGCACTTGTTCCCAGCTGCTGGGGGAGAGATGCTTGGAGGAAGAGGTGAGGTCAGCTTGCCACCTTTTAATTTTTCTCCTGAGTTGTTCCAGGGGTCAAGGCGAGAAGCAACTTTTGTCTGACCCAAGCCACCTCTTCCCAGTGCACAGTCCCCATAAGCCATGCGCTCTCTTGCAATTCACCACGTGCTTTCCCAAAGTAACTGCTGCTTTTTTTCAACTGAAGGGCATTAATCTTTCTTACTGCTTCTTTTCAGACTTTTCCATCATTTCTATCTATTCCATGTAAGTCTGAGCTCTTAGTAGAGGTTCTGGTGTATGTGTTTGGTTTCCTTTCTATCCTTTATCACAATCCCACCCAGGGTACCTTGTGAGCGTGTGGAGGTCCAGGAGCTCTGCATCTTAGCAGCTACCTGCTGTAAAGAGACCCACATGGACGTGGCAGTCCCAGAGACCTCTGACCATCCTTCAAGAGAAAGCCTTCTCTGTAATCATACATAAGGTGCTTAGCCAGGAAGGATGCAGTGACCTAAGCAGCACTGTACAAGCAAGGTCTCTATCCTGCTGTAGCCTCACGAGCTGCACGTTTCTCTTTGGTTTCTTTTGTCTACCTGAATTTTGCTGTGTGTTGTGATGTGTATGAAGAGAGAAACCATTTGCATGTCCTTATAGTTAGTGAGGGGTGAGAGAACTCGAGGGCTCCAAGCAATGTGATGTGTTTGGTGGGACTGATAGGGCCTTCCCAATCTGTGATTCCCCAAAAGTCCTGTGCATGTGGCCTTCTTCTCTAGGCTTCTCTGGAATGATGCAAACACCAGTCTACCAGCCCATGCCTTCGATGATGGGGATGCCAGCTGCCTCAGCCATGATGCCGGGGGCTGGTGGGATTGCCCCTATGCCAGGTAATCACAATTTCTTGGAAAGAGGATAGAAAGGTGGGCATCCTCACAAAGCCTGTATGTTTGCATGTCAGGCAGAGTGCACAGTGAGCACTCAGCTCCATGCTGCTGCTCAGGCACCATAGGGAACAATTGCCTGTGGGTACCTGCAGAGATGTATGTCTCCCACAGCCATGTACATGCCCCAGCCCGTGGTGCCCACTGTAGACCCCAGTCAGCTGGCAGCACAACAGCAAGCCTTCATCAACCAGCAAGCCATGCTCATGGTGAGTGGAAGGGATTGGGTGGGAGAGGCTCCGGAACAGGAGAAGGAGAATGCACTGGTGTACGTGCTGTAAAGAGGCCAGCCATGCTCCCCTTCTGGCTTAGGCCTGCTCTGTAGCTCTGGGGTTTGGTATACAAAGTTAGGTTTTGATATATAACATTGTGGTTATTGAAGATTGCAAAACTAGGGATCCCCTTTTTGCCTGTAGTGTCCGTGGGGACACTGAGGTGCTATAGGTGAATGAGTAGCAGCAACAAGATCAGTTGTAAGTCCCAAATGTTTTTAATATGGGATTTACAAGAGATGCAGAACTGCAGTATTCTGCTTTCTACACAAAGCCTTCTGAGTGTGTGGATGTCCCAGGCTATCTGTACGGTCAGGATCTGTGTGTACCTGGCCAGGTAGGAGTAGACACCGTGGTCAAGGCTGCTATGTACATAACATCTGGGATATTTGCAGTGGATTAGGTAGGTGTTCTATGACTACTAATCAAAAGTAGGACAGCCTGGCTGATGGTTGATGTTTTTGCGTAGCCTAGAGCTCATGGTTGCTGCAATTCCTTCTTCCAGGCTCAGCAGATGACCCTTCAAGCCATAAATCTTTCCCAGCAACAGCAGCAGCAGCAGCGACAGCAGTGGCGGCAACAGCCTCCTGAGAGCTCAAGGCCAAGAGCCTCAAGCCCACCACGAAGCCAAGCCCCAGCCCCAGCCCCAGCCCCAGCCACTTCCCCCAAACCCAAGATGTCTCCCAGCAACCAAGTTGTGACACCACCACCAAAGGCTCCAGAGCCACCAGCTCAGGCAGAAAGACCGGTATGAGAAACAAGCAGTGGGTTCAGATGCCACATTCTGCATTTATTTTGCTTTCCTTTCCAGCCTGGCATTGATTTGGCAGAGAGCAGAGCTGAGAGTTATGTTTGCCTTTCAGGTTCCACTTGCTGAATCTTTAAGACACAGGGTCAGAAATGGTTACACTTAGGTCTGCGGAGTTTTGGCTGCAGTGCATTCACTGCTGATCTGAATTTCAGTGGGGTCCATATGAAAATTCTTCACTTTTCATTCTTTATCTTTCAGCAAGTTGTCCTGGGGCTGTAACATACCCCTCTTTCTCTGACCTGGGTTGATGATTCCTTGGGTCAGAAACTGGCCTCCTGAGACACATCCAGACTAGAGCAAGTTTTGGATGAGTCCAAACCTATCTAGAGAAGATCACTGCTGACTTTAAAGGGAACTATGGAGGTATGCTGGCTGGTACTAACTATGTTGTGAACTGCCTGCAGGTTTACGACTCCAGCAGTGAAGATGATGACTATCCTCCGGAAACTTTCCAGCAGAAGAGAGCTTTTTTTCAGAGGATGGGTGAGTGTTGACCACTTTGGGAATTTTACTTATCATAACACCCTGTTCTGCCTCCCAGGTGCAGCAGCTGTGTTGGACATCCAAAGCCAGGCTGAGTGGGGTCACGGGCAGCCCCATCTCTTGTTACCAGAGTTGAAACCATGTCTTTAATGCTAAGCTTTGGCTATTAACAAGCCTTTGGAGATTAACAAGCCTCTTTCTTTGTAGGAGAGCAAAAGATCCTAGTGAAGAAAGTCAGGGTGCCTTCCAAAACCTGGACACCTCCAGCAAATCCTCAGCCAAAGGAGATGGAAGAGGAGAAAAAAGAACAGGAGAAAGAGAAGAATATGACAGAAGAGAAACCCAGCCCTAAAACAGAGGCAGGTAAGGTGATGCTGAGTGGAGACCCAGGCAGGTTGAGAAGCAGGAACTTTCCAGGAGTGGGTGTCAGCCCAGGGTATACCCAGAAGAGGAGAGATTTGGCTCTTCTGGGAGTCTCAGCAGCAGAGGAGAAAGTCCTGTGCTTTGGAAAGTGGGCTCCTAAAGTGGGGCTGGGAAAGGCCATGAATGGTCAGCCCAGAGGTGAATGAGTGGGAGACTCAAATGAGACAAAGGGATTTTTCCCGTGCTTTTGTTGGTCTGTCAGTTAAAGCTCTCACCCCCAACAGCTCCTGCTGCCCCTTTGCCACCTCCTGAGCCAAAGCCGAAGAAACAGACACCAAAAGCAAGGAAGGAACCACCAGTAGTGAAACCTTCAGCCCCTGAGTCTCGACCTGAACCAAGCCGGGAGATCCGTAACATCATCAAAATGTACCAGAGCAGGCCAGCCCCCGAGCCCCAGCCTATTGAGCCTGCCAGGTGAGACAGTGGGAGCCACCCAAGATGAAAGGCACCACATCCCAGCTCTGCCACATGGCTCCACTGCGGTGACAACCCTGCTGCAGCTCTAGCAATTCCCTTTTGTTCTGATCCCTTTGTCTTGCAGGAGAGTGTCCAAGCCATTTATGAAGAGGAATGACCCCAAAAATGAGGCTTTGGCCAAGCTGGGGATGATGAATCTCAATTCTCCCAAATCAGTGAGTGCTTTCTGTCCTTGATCACCCCAGCAAAGAGATCCTTTGTATCCAACCTCCAGCAGGCTGAGTGCGGTATGGTAGCAGCCAGTTGATTTCTTACTGCACTAATAGTTCTCTGTGAACTCCTACACCGTAGTGCTGTCCATCTCGGGTTCCAATCTATAACATCCATTGAGTTCCTGGAGAACAGGCTCTGCTGCAGTAAGTTCCAATGCAGAATGTTTAGGACTGATTTGGAAGCAACAATTCACATACCCCATATTTGGCCCCATGATCTTGGCCTATCAATGTCCTTTTTCCTTTTCCCAGCTGGAGGCTCGTGTCTCAAATACTCATTTCTCTGTGCCTCTGTTTGCCTAATCTTAATCTATTTGTAGATCGTGTGCTGATTTAAAGGTTCTGGTATCCCCGCTCCAACAGATGCTGCTCCCAGGGCTGGGCTGCTACCCTGGGTATTATTTCTAACAGCAGTATACATGCAGAGAGTGACTGTCAAATGGTTTTGCTGTCTTGTAGCCACCCCCACCGCCTCAAGAGAAGCCCAAAGGGACACCACCACCCACCAAGCCCAAGCCAGAATCAACTTCCACCTCTATCAAGGAAAAACAGATACCTCTGCTGTCCGTCTTCAGGGAGCCATCAAGTACCCCACCAGATTCCCCAGCCCCTCCTGTTCTCCCACCTTTGCCCCCCTCTTTTCCTCCTGGGAACCAAGGCTTGCAGGAAATCTCATCAAAGGGTGAGTGTTGACATCACCCAACTGGGATTTGGTAGCAGATAACGAGGGCAGATTCAGCCTAACAGCCTGGGAGAGTCACAGCATGAGCTGTCTCTTGCCAGCAGGTCAAAGGCTGAACAGTCACAAACTACAGTGACAGTCAAACTATAAGACTGTCACTATAATTTGAGTCTGGTCCTGCACTCTGAGACCCTCCCCAGTTCTAACTCTTCCCTTCCCAGTGCAGTGCAGGATGTCAGGTGTTAATGACAAAGGAAAGAAGGGCTAGATGAAAAATGGACCTAAAAACAGAAGGGACCTTTGGGTTACAGCTTGATCAAGGTCCAGTCCATAAGATATTTTATTGCCTACTTGAAGCATAGTTCCTTTATCAAAGCTGCAAGTAAATGGCTGGACTTTAGACAAGGGAGGAATGGAAAGTCAGGTGTTTTACACTCTAGAGCCTCTGGAGAGCCCTTTAAGACAGGCTGAGGAATGAGGAAGTGTTATTTGGGGTGCATACATCGAAGTGTTTCAAGCACAAAATGCTCATCAGCATCACATGTTATAATGTGTAAAGAACAATCAGCCCAAGCACATTACTGGACTCCAATCTGCAGCAGCTGCCCTGTTATAAAAGAACTTTCCTGTTTCCTGCTCCATTTGCTTTAGAAGATGGACATTCAATAAATCCTGTGAAAGCAATTCTAGGTAACAGGGTTAGCCTGAAAATTCCCATGTTCTTTTGAATAGGGATAAAGAAAACAGCTGAATATATTCCGCATTTCTTGTTTGTCTATGAACTGAAGTTTCAAAGTTGTGACTGCTTAAATGGAGACATTCCTAATCTCATAGAGAAATGCCTTTGAATAGTTGCCTTCCAACCATGTCTAACTTTAACAGATTTCCTGCAGAGAGCAAATCCAGTGTAAGTACTGCTGCCTTGTACTAGAATTTTACAGCCTGCTGGCTCAGGAGAGTTCTTCTAACAGTTTTTGAACCCTCCAGCAGCCTTTATAATGACATAAAGTGGGGCCACGTCTTTCAGCTTCAGTGCAGGGGCGCTCAGTTGCCAGGGTGCTGCGTGCTCCCGATCTCTGGAGTGTTTCTGGTATGAGCACTGAACTTTGTGGCTAATGCAATGAGTATCCATACGATCAGAAATGCTATGAGTTGTATGCTGACTGTTCTGTGCATTCACATTAGCTGATCACTGATCTTCAGGAGGCTTCCTTACACAAATGTTCAGTCAGGCACGTGGCATTGTACCTTTCTCTTGGTAGATCAATGGCAGATGACGCTGTTGTCAGCAAAGCCTCTCATCACTGTCCTTTCTTCCCACCCAGGCTCTACTGTAACAGAAGATGATGGGATCAAGACCCAGCTGTATAAGCTGACTGCTGGTGTCAGCTTTTCCTACTTCAACCCTCCTTGGAAAATCTTTCTGCGCAAAGAGGTAAGGTTTGTTAGCTGAGCCCTGGCTGTAGGGGGAGGGCAGTGATCCCACGTTTGGTTAAAATCACTTTCTGTCACGTGTAACCAGAGTGATGTAACAGCACAGAGATAGTTCGGAGAGGAGATCACATCACACGTGAGCTGGGAGTCATGAGCCCATCTGATAGTCAAGGAATTCCAGCTCCTACTTTGCCTTACTCATGAGTCTTAGTTTTCCTGTCCTTCCCTTCCTCTCTAAAGCACAAAGATATTTACAAATAAAGTAAATCTGTTGTTACCTGGAGCTTTCCTATATAAACAGTACAAATGTATGTAAAATCTGGTGTGCTGAGCTGACCCCAGCTCATCCCACGATCTCACCACTTCACTTTTGATCCTTCACTCCTGCTCACATTTGGTCATTTTGTTCACGTTCCCTCTCTCCCTTCCCTGCCCAGACATGGAGATTCAATCCTGGCAGGAGGGAATATGGATTACAAAGCACCTCCATTTCTGCTACAGCTGTAAACATACATCACATCATTATTGTTTTTATCCTCTTCTTGCAGGTGTTTTACCCCAAAGAAAACTTCAGTCACCCTTATTGTCTCAACTTGCTGTGTGAACAGGTAATGTATGACTCAGGGTTGTGTCTGTTTGGAGACTTCATAATTGCACTGCATGATTACATCACACACATTCACTTAGAGGTACTAGCCCTTCCTCCAGGTCCATCTAGTCAAGGCCCTGCTCTTTTCTCTCTGAGACTCAGCCTTTTTTAACAGCCCCAGCACACACAGTGGCAGCCTTTCCATAGAAGCTTCTCTGTTTCCCTTCTCTGCAGATCATACGTGACACCTTCTCTGATTCCTGCCTTCGCATTTCCAAAGAGGAGAAGCGCAAGATGAAAGACCTGCTGGGTAATGAGCAGCCCTGTCCCACCTTCCTCTATGCACCCATCACAGCATCCAGCTGCAAAGGAGGAAGAGTTCTCTGTGCCCTTCCAGAAGGACTTAGGGCAGAGGAGAATTGTCACTGCAGCAAGAGAGAACAGTGTGTGTGCTGTGCAGTGCGCTGTAGGGATGGCTGTCTCTTCCAAATGCATAGAAAATGGCTCTGAAATCTCTCTCAGCCAGAAGAACTTCATTATGATTTCTATCTCTTTGGTGGAGGGGAAACTGAAGCTCGGGGATTGGGTTTTGAGTCGTCTCAAAATCCAGCTGTGTTTGACATGAACTTGATGGAGGTGGGTGGAAAAGAAACTTGGTAGATATGTGCAAGTTACATTGGTTAGCACCGTGGTGTCCTTTCAGCTCTGCGTGCCCTTTGCTGCCCCATGGTCACTGGGTGGGGACAGTAGGAACAAGATCCCTGAGCAGAGGGAGGCATTACCATCTTTGCCTTGCTGTATCTCTCCTAGCGGTGTTGCAGGTTGGCAATGATGCTCAGTCCATTCAGGAGGATGGGATAAAGAAGAGGATCGTGGTGGCTGCTCGGGATAACTGGGCTAACTATTTCTCCCGCCTTTTCCCAGTTCAAGTGAGTCTTAATCATTTCAGCAGACCCCAGATTTGCTGTGGCTGCGTGACTCTGGTTCTCCTGGGATGTCTCTTTGTGCCCTGCTTTTCTCTCCCTCATCTGCCCCACTCCACTCAACCTCCTGCACTTCCTGTTCATTTCTCCTCTTTCTCCTCCCATGCCCATTTACATCCTTCTGGTGCCCTAACTATTTCTCTGTTTCCTAGGCCACCCGCTTAGATGCAGTCACTGGTGGCCTTGTCCCCCACTTCTCCCACCTGCCTCTCTGCATCCTCACACTCCTGCTCTCCTGTCTCCCTTTCCTCACCATCTTTGTTTTCCAAACACCTTTGAGAATGTTGCTAGGTCTGACACCTCTGTCAGCCTTGGACCTCCTTCATTGCACATGGTGCTCTTTCCCCATCCTGTCTGGCTGGAAAGGAGCCTTTTGGTGCTCACTGCTGCTCTTCTTTCACAGGGTGAAAATGGAAGTGATGTCCAGATCCTGAGTGTTTCCCACCGAGGCCTGAGGCTGCTGAAAGTGGTGAAAGGAGCTGCCTATGCTCCTGAGCACCTGAAGATCCTTTGCAGCTACAGGTGAGCAGAAGGATGATGTGGGCAGACCGACAGGGTGAGCTGAGCATTTCTATGGTTGTTCCATGTCTATGGTTGTCCAAGACCTGTGGTGACTCGCTGACCCTCTCTCAAGTGACTTCACTCTTTCCCTTTCCTTCCTACCTTGTACTTTGCCTGTAATGAATACTGGGAACCAAGCTCCCAATCCCATGATCAGCATCCCCTCGCTCCATCAGAAGCACTCTAAATGTGCTGGCTGTGTTCTCAGCTTTGCAGATGTGTTCTCGGTGGAGCTGAAGGACAGCAACTCCCTGGAGTTCTCTCTGAAGTCGGAGCAGCTCTTACTGCACTCTCACAAGGCTCCGTGCATCAAGGCCATGGTGGAACTCTTCATCCAGGAGCTAAGGCAGGTGAGGAAGCAGCTTCAGAGCAGCTGTCAGTGAAGGTGTTTTCCTATATGGACCTGGCAGGTTCCATGGGGTGGTGTAGTCTAAGTCCCTCCCATTTTGGGGACAGGATTTGACCTCTCCACTGCTTTTTCCACAGGATACCAACTACGTTGTTGCTCTGCGCAGCTATGTCACAGATGACAAGAGCCTCCTCAGCTTCAAGAAGGGTGACCTGATCCAGCTCCTGCCCATGCAAGGCTTGGAGCCAGGTGAGGGGATATGTTCAACTGGATGGGAAAGGTGGGGGTTGTGTTGAAGAGCCTGCTGGACCTGCAGAGCTTAGAAGCACTACAGGCTACTGTTGAGCAAACCAGAAGAAAGCAAGCTGTTAAGTGCTGGCTTTGTCAACCTTCAGCTCTGCTGCTCTCTGACTGCGACTCTCATCGTTCCTTCTATCACAGATATAGGGGATGTTCTCTACAGCTCCCTGAAGGGAGGTGGTAGTGAGGTGGGGTTCAGCCTCTTTTCCCTGGTAATGGTGATAGGAGGAGAGGTGATGGGCTCAGGTTGTGCCAGGGGACAAGGTTCAAGGACAGTTCAAGCTGGACAGTAGGAAAAATTTCTTCTCTGAGAAGGTGGTGAGGTACTGGCACAGGCTGGCCAGAGAGTGGCGGCGTCCCAGTGCCTGGAGGTGTCCAAGAACCATGGAGATGTGGCACTGGGGAATGTGGTTAGTAGTATGGTTGGAATGAGCTGGGTTGGGCTTGGTGATCTGAGAAGTCTTTTCAAGCCTATTCAGGGGCTGATGCTGCCTTTGCCAGTAGGAGGCCTTACTGCTTGGTTCTGTTTACACCTGCCATGGTTCCCAACTCTCTCCCATTTCCTCAGGCTGGCAGTTTGGCTCCACTGGTGGCCGCTCCGGTATTTTCCCTACCAGCTTAGTGCAATTGGCTGCAGCCCCTGATTACCTCAGCGCCAGCATGAACAGACGTGGAGGGCTGGAAAAGAGCAGGAAAGTTTCCTTTGATAGCAGGAACACCAACAGGGAGGTGAGTTGTCCTTGGAAAGCTGCTAGAGGATCTGGCTGTGTTCTGTGGGACCTGCCAGCATAGGTCCATGGCCCTGGTAGTGTCTGACCACTGTGGCTAAGGAGGAAGATGACTGCTTAATTCTTAGAGACAAAGGTGCTCAAATACCATTGAGAGTATGTGGGGAGGGACGGCATCACAAACAGATGAGACCTTTCCAGGTATAGCAGAAGGGAATACACACTGCAGCTCCTCAGCTGACCTTTCAGGGTGTTTGGTGCATGTCCCTGCAGACCTCTGTTCCCAGCCTGATATCAGAGCACTCCAGCACCACGTCAATCCCTGCTGGTGATCATTACACCATGATGGACTTCGCCGCTGCCTATTTCCGAGAGGCTCAGTTCATGTGAGTAGACTGTGCTCTTCCTCAGCAGGCACACACTGGATGTGTGTAGCCTGGCACTCACCAAGACATTCCTGGGGGTATTTCTTAGATTGGCTCATGTTCTCTTCATCTGGCTAGGACGGAATTGAAGGGGACACCTGCTGAAAAGAAGACTATAGCTGATATGGTCCAGTACACCAAGGTGAGCCCATGCTTTCCCCATGGCAACAGCCAGAATCCCAGCTCCAGCACTGCCTCTAGTTTTGCTCTGACGTGGCAAAAACAGATGACAGATTTTTGGCTGCACTATGCAGAGGAGTAGGTGACCCCTACTTGTCAGTGCTGCCTGCAAGATACTGGGAGCTGTTGTCATTTGCAAAGCCTACAGCAGAGCTCTGTGCTGGTCTGCCTCCTCAGCTCACCCTTGTGTTCGGGCCTTGCAGGTTCCAATCCAGGAGTCTTTGCTCCGGTACTCTGATAGTGAACTGAATGAGCTTGCAACAAAGAACTTCATGAGTAAGTGCCCCCCAAGGACAAAATGGGCTTCAGTGGGGATGAATGGATGCTCTTGGTGGCTACACATAGACAACAGTGAAAGGAAATAAGAGGGTACTTCCTAATGCACTTCTGCTGTTAGTAACTACCACTGTCATTGCTGAAAGCATCCAAAAACAAAATGCTCCTTGCCTTGAGTGCAAAATGTCCAAGAACCCACACTACCTGGGCTCATGAACCACTTGTCCAGTGCTGCCTAGTAATGGCCTGTAGAGCAGAAGGGCCTTTGGGACATTTCTAGCCCCATGGCAGGATCACCTCTGCTTACACTCAAGTATTATCCTTTGCTTTGCAGCTCTGATGCGTTTCATGGGAGATCAGGCAAAACTCAAGAACCAGGATGATGCTCACTGCGTCTACGAAATCCTTCAGGTCTGTGACTTTTCCCTGGGCAAACTGCTGAAGCACCAGGGGGAATGAGAGCCCAAGGCCTTTCAGGAAAGGGAGAACAGGGAAAGCCATAATGCAGAGCCCTGTGTGAGGAAAGGAACTGAAGCAGAAGCCAACTAAAAATCACGTGGAAGAGTGCGTGTTTCTATCTGCACTTGTAAATGCTTTTCTTAGGCATCACAGTCTGGATGAGAGCACAACCTGCCTTCTTCTATGGGCCTATATAGCACTACAGAGCAGACGTTGTGAAGGCTGAGCTTAAACCCATACTGGGAGTCTGGGATTTCCTGGCAAAACTCGAGTTGGGAGAAGAAGGGCATGGAGATGAGCTGGAACCTCTCTGATGTTCTCTTCCCCTCTTTGATGCTGTTTTCTCCTCTTTGAATGCAGCTGTGCAAGGAGAAGGAGAATTTGCAAGATGAAGTTTACTGCCAGGTCATCAAACAGGTCACTCTCAACCCCAACCAGTGAGTAGCAGCACGGTTGGTTCCCATTCACGCATGCATGGAGGGGATCTGCGTGCCTTGCTGTGTGCATAGGGTGGTGGGGGGGTACCCCTTCATTTCATTACCTCATGTTCACTGCCACCTCCTTTTGGCGTGCAGAAGGGCAGAGGCTCACTTTCAGCTGAGTGGAGCAGGAATCGTCTCATTCCACAGTTCTTTCTGTCCCACAGGCAGAGCGTGCTGCAGGGTTGGCTGCTCCTAAATCTGCTCACTGGCTTCTTCCTCCCTTCTAACGTCCTGATGCCCTATGCCACCAAGTTTCTGCAGCAAGCCAGCAGCGACCCATCCAGCACCCACCACGGTATGGCTGTGCCTGTGTCCTGTGAAACAAATGACTGCCCTGTGTTTACTAAGGCCCTGTGTCAAGGGAAGAAGGAAGGATCCGGATGGGCACACAGTTTCCTCATTCTTGGCAATGGATTAAATTAAATTAAAAGTAGCCAGGAAGACTCAAAACTATAGAAGACAATGCTTAGCTCTCAGCCCATGAAGCTTTTTCTCTTTTCCTACAGAAATAGCCAGGACTTGTCAGAGCAACCTGCGGAAAAACTTCATGTATGGGGGCCGTCGCCACCTTCTTTTCCCTGTGGAGATGGAGGCACTGCTGGTATTGATGGGCAGGGGGGTTGGGATGCTGGGAAGGGAGGGAGGGCAGGGGCTTGGCAGCAGGTGCTGTATGAAAGAGATGGGTAGCAGGGCTGGTTAGTGCTCCAACAGAGGGAATCAGGCATGTGTCTGTAAGGGAGATGTAAGCGAGATGCCATGGAGTGGGTAGGGAAGGGTCAGGAATGGTGGCTAGCAATGTAAGGTGAGATGAGGAGGAGGGAAGAAGGAGAAAGGATTACGTGGTTGATTCGTGTCACTGTGTGTCACTGTGTGTCACTGTGTGTCACTGCCCTTTGCAGAAGGGGCGCAGTGCCCGCCGGCTGGAGGTGCTGATGTTTGGAGGTGTGGAATACATCACCCGCATCAGGACATTCACTGTGAGTTTCTGCTTTGCATCTCTCCTTTGGTCTGGTCTCAGAGCCACACCAGGGAATTGCCATATTTGTCAGACCTTTGGCCTGTGCTTCTCACAGTGCTCTGGTGGTTTCCCACATCCTTCCCAGGAATCCCTGCAGCAGCCTGGAATGCCATATCCAGCCTGCTTCTCTGGGCCTTGGCCAGAGCTGTACTGCTGCCCTCCACCTGTTCTGGGGCTGAGCTGAGCTTAGCTGGCTGCAGTACTTACTTGCTTCTTTCCTCACTTCAGGTGGCCAAGGAGCTCGTGCAGGAGATCTGTGAGCAGATGGGGGCAGGAGAGCAGGAAGAGATTCAGGAATTTGCTCTTTTTGCCATCAGGAGCACCAGTGATAAAAATGGCAAGTAAAGACAGACTAGCTCTAGCTTCTTCCCTAAAGCATTTTCTCCAGCAGGGACTGTTTCAAATAATTTCCCAACTCTTGCTGGCTCTGGGGATCTTCAGCAGTTAACCTCTGTTAGAGACTGCGCCTTCTCAGGGCCTGAATTGCTCTTTCCTGGAAGTGGTGCATGTCTGCATGGGGGCTGCGTCCCTTTGGGATGGCTGATGCTGGGAGCTGCTAAGGGCAGGGTGAAACAGAGGTGTGCAGGATTGCTCCTTGCAAGACTGTGGAGCTCAACCCGCTGCCTCAGCACCAAGAGTGATGACTCTTTCTCTGCATAAATATGTAGACAAAATTGTGAGGCCAATAAGAATGGAGGAATACCTTCATGACTACTTGCTCGAAGACATGCTGGTCAGTCTGAGTTTACGCAGGCTCACCTGGAAGACACCTCTGCACTTTGAGGACAAAATCTATACTGACATCCATTACGGCCAGGTAAGCAATGAAGATGGTGGGAGCACTTAATGTGAAGGCCAGTGTGGGTGTTCCAAGACAGCTGAAGAAGTGGGAGGGCTGATTGGCTCTGTATGCTGTTTCTGGGCATGACTAATAAGTGATGCTAGCGAGGACGTAGCCTATGGGCTGTACTGTTCCAGATGTGGTTTGTGCACAATTTCCCCAAATGCAACAAGCCTTTGCTTTAGAGTGATCAGCATGAGCTCTCTGCAAGGCAGGATGTGGGTCTCTGCAGTCTTGCACTGCCCAGACTTGCCTGGACCTCCTTCTGGTGCTTTCAGGTACAATGGGACTACCTGGCAGGGAAGATACTGATAAGCTACAGTAAAGAACTGGAGATGCAACTGGCTGTTTTGGTTATGCTCCAGCACTGGGCCAAAACAGAGCAGAAGAGCTCTGCTCCCTCCAGGTATGTTTATTTCAGGGAGGGTTTCTGTTGGCACCACATGGGTTAAGAGTAGATGACTGCAAGTATTCTCTGGATAATGAAGGAATGGAAAGTCCTAGAGAAGATAAGTCATTAATTAACATCACTCAGTGACTGACTTCTGCCTGTAACCAAGAAAGTTTACTTCCCACTCACACTCCTGATGGTGACCATCTCTGACTCACAGTTCCTTTTGTGATTCCTCCTGAGCTCAGGGACATGCGGGTGCCACATGCATTTCTTTAGGCCATGTGGTACCAAGAAGAAAGCGTATGAGCTTACAGCTGTACTTGTAACTGAGATGGAGATAAAGAGGTAATACTTCCATCAAACCCCCTTACAGCTCCAACAGGAGGAGTAACCATATAATTGCTGGGTGTGGGGAACTCTGCTCTGTGTAGTGTTTGCAGCAGAGGATCAAGACAGTGAAATGTTTTTCAGAAACACCCTGTGAAAGAAAACTTTTCTGTAACTCTACTTCCATGCTACAGTTCTTGCATGAAGAGCTCTTGCTGTCTCCAGGAAGGAAGGATTTCTTGCAGTGTACTGGGTGGCGGTGCACAGCTTTTTTCTCTGTGGAAATACGATGTCTCACCATCTCTGATGTCTTCTCCCACATCATTCAATTTCGATATGACCTGTTGGGCTCTTCCCTCTTTCTCCACCTTTGCCCCCAGCTCTGCTCTGAAAATCGTTGGCACATCCCCTCTCTCTAACTGCCCTTGGTTGATATTTTGATTTTGGCCAAGCAAGGAGTCAATTAGTCTCTACTTTTTGGCACAGGGAAGAGCTGAAGGAATACATACCAAAGTCCTTGCAGTCCCGAATCAGCACTGAGACTCTGCAGAACCATCTTGACAGGCTGCTGCAAACCATGCAGCCGATCCAGCCAGTGGATGCAAAAATCCAGTTCATAGGTGAGGAGACGTGAGATCTGCCTGGGGAGTCCACTCTGAGAGCGATGGAAGCTGCTTCGTGGGGCTGGCAAACATCTCTGGAGTCTGGAATGGTCCATGATATGTAACTCCCTGACAGCCTCCCTCTGCAGACTTGCACAAGCTTCCAAGCAGGACAGTCATAGTCCAAATCCCACCTCATGGTAAAAGTCTGTGGAAGACTCTGCTAGTCCTGTGCTTTAATTTGTGCTTTAATTGATATTCTGGCTGCATGTCTGTTTGCTGCTCTGAAAAGAATGGAACGTGCATTGAGGCTGCTGGCACTTGAACACCAGGAGCCTAAGAATGGTGGGAGAAACTGTGAATTGCCCTTCTTAATGTAGGAAGACTTGGGAATACCTGAAGCTTTTGACCACCTTAGGCTGGTGCTAGATTACTAGCTGGGAGCTGCTGCCTGAACACCAGCTTTTGTTTTCTTACAGAGCAAGTGATGAAACAGCCATTCTTTGGCTACAACATCTTCTTGGTGGAGAAAGTCAGTAACAGCACAATCCCTGTGCCCTGTTATTTTGGTGTGAATAAAGAACAGATCATTGTGGTGGACAGCATCACCCAGGTATGCCAGACAGTTCCTCCCTCGTGTCCAAATCCCTGAAGTCTTTCAGGTATAAGCTTTGACTTTCAGCAGAACACGTTTCAGGAAGAGGCTGTGTCTATATGCATCACAGCCAGTCACTCTAACAACCCTACCCTGAGAGTCAGGGAGTAATGTCACAGATGCTATTGCCACCTGCTCTTTTGCAAGTGTACAGATCAGGCAAACAAGCATGGTCCATGGTAAAACTAAGCGTAGGCCACAGTCCTATTTGTCCCAGTCCAGAAGGAGCTCTGAGGACACAGCAGTAGTAGAGCCAAGCAATTACTGTGATCTGGTCTATGTCTCACCTTTCAAGAGATGTATCCTCCTTGGCCAGAATCAGATGGGTTTTTTTCTGAAGTGAATGCACCAGAGTGCTCTGTGGCTCTGTTCCCTCACACAGGAGCTCTGCCACATCATCCCATTGAAAGAGCTGCAGAGGATGAGAACCCTGCGCCCCACCTCCGAGCAGGGGCTTCCTGGCATAGAACTGAACTACGGCTCTGCTGCCAGCCCCAAGACTCTATGGATTGAGCTATCCCAGGTGAGACATCAGCCTTGAACTACAGCTTCTTCATGGCAGTCCAGAAATTGCCCTCCACTGTCCCTCTGAGCCTCTGAGCAGCACTACTGCTCTCTTCTGTCCCAGGGGTGAATGGGGACACTGCGTTTCCCCATTCCCAAAGAGCAGCTCAGTCTCAGCACCTGCTTGGTATTGAACTATGGGAAGTAATTTACGGGAAGATGCTTCATTATGGGAATATTTTGTTATGAGAAGCAGTCATTTCCAGAGTAAAGAATGACTGGTACTGCTTTGTGTTTTGACAGGCTAAAGAGATGTACCACACAACTGTTGTCATCCTGGATAAAATAGATTTTCAGCACTAGAGTTTGAGGAGAACGCCTCCCCAAAACATCCATGACCTCTGCTGCTTCTACAACTGCTACCAAGTGATGGCATGGTTCTTGATGGACTGGACTGTGAAGTCACCCCTGGTGGCCCACCATTCAGCCTAAGTCCTCTTTCTTGAAGCAATACTTGCACTGGTTGAACAAACCACAAGGCACCCTCTCTATTCCCTTGCTTTTTTGTGGCTTGTTCCAGTACAGCAGCACAAGAAATGCAAGTAACTGCCTTCAAGCTATGCACTGTGGGACTGTTTTTTAAGTCTTTTTGAATTAATTAACATAAGAAAGCAAAGCCAAGGCTATCAATTGACTGCTGCTGTTTTCCACAGACCAGCTTTTTCTCTGTATTGATATGCAAGAGGCCCTGTAGCAGGGTTTGTGAAGCAGAAGCTTGTAAACAGCATCACAATGCAAAGCAGATCAGTGTTCATTTACAATTGCCACGTATTATATACAATTGCTGGGGCACAGATTGAGCTGCAGTGGTAAGAAGGTCCATTGTTAATTTCTCACTGACATAATTATATGGGTATTTTTCCTTCCACTATACAGAACTCAATTGTATCCATGCAGCTGTCAAATTATGGCTCCATGCCCTGGAGAAAGTGTATTCAAGTGGAAATTGTATTACAGCAGAGGAGAGCATCCTGGATTGTACAAAACCACTTAATTTATTTTTATTTCTATGGCTATCCTATTGGACTAATAAGTATCTTCATTTTTAGGAGATTTAGAATGAAATAATTGCATAATGGATATTTTGAAGCTATGAGATGACAGATACTGCTTTACCTCTGATACGGGATGATTGACCTGCAGGTAACTGCAAAAGCTTGAGGAAAAGGTTGCAATTGTTGGCTGGGCACCAGATCTGGGGTCGTCCAATGCAGGCCATGATGCACAGCTGGCTGCTTGCTGCTGATGCCAGCACCAACCACAGCACTTTCCTGTCAGGAGCTTCCATGCTAAAGCTGAACTGTATGGCACCTTCTCTCTTTATCAACACAAGGCTTGGTGAACAGCAACATGAAATAAAGAACTAGAGAACATCTCTGAAGAGTAACTCATCCTTTTTTCTCTTTCTGAGCTTTTCCAGCCTTATACAAAAGCACAGCTCACCTGAAGAACTGCCCTGCACTGTGATTCAGCTCCATGCCACACAGCCACGTGCCCTTTTGGAAGTCCTCTGATTTACAACTCACACAAAACATTTCTGAAAAGCTCATGCAGCCAGGCAGCAGCTGAACTCTGCAGCACTGATCTTTGGAGATAGCAACTCCACTTAAGTGGCTGATGAAACAGGATTTTTAATGGGAAGCTGAAGCAGAAGCCAGCAGGCAACAGCTAAAAAAAAATAGTTGTATCATGTATCAGCTTCTTTCATCCCTTTCATCCTTCAGCTGAGCAGAGCTGCAGATAAGAGACATGAGGTACACATTTCCAGGTTCTTCTCGTTCTGGTTCTCAGCTTGAAGTATCCTGCAGCTACCAGGGCTGGGAGGTGTCTGCACTACACACTTCCCACCCATCCCATACCTCACCTTCATTCATCAGTTGTCTGTTCAGATAAAGAGTTTCTACATCTACGTTCACAGTCTTACTGTACCTGAGATAGGATAAGTCAGAAAAATCTTTCAAGTCCACAGCTGCTAGAACATTGTTTTATTGTTAGTTCTGCACAGACCTTTCAGCACATAAAAATAATAATCCGTTGAGTACAGTGATTCAAAAGTCTGTTTCATGGCTTCTCAGGCTGCAGATTTCTCTAGCAGCACTACTGCCTGAGGCCACCAGCCTCTGCAGGCATGGAAAAAAAGCAGAACCCAACTAAAACCCAACAGAAAGAACTTGTGCTCGGACATCAGGTTATTTCAAGCCCACTGATACCCTACAGTTCAGGTCTTTGTATAAATATAGCAGCAGAGGCATCACAGTGTCAACCTGAGAGCCACAGCAGTACATTAACCAGTAGTAACAGCAGCATTGCCCTCTGTACTGCGGGCTGTGGGTGAGGCACAGGGAACAGATATGGCTTTAGGGGTTACAAGCAAATGCTGGAAAGGCATTGGCAACCTTAGTGCCACTGCTGGAGAGGTTAACACTGAGAGATCAACACCACTGAAGTTTAAAGGGCAGGCAGAACTAGACACTGTTAAAAAGAAATTAACTTAGGATTAAAACAAACAAACAAAAAATCATCTGAATTTCTCTACCTTCAGAAAGTCAGCATTGCCTGCAGGGTTAAAACAAAACACTCCCTTGCTGCCTTCCAAGGAAAAATGTCCCATCCAAAACTCAACCACGAAGTTCAGCATTAGCAGCCCTGAGCAAAAGCACGTGAACTCGTTTGTAGCATAAGGCTTCTATTGGTAACACTTAAATAAGGACTAAGAGATGGGGGAGCAAGGAGAGGAGCCATCCAAAACAGAATCCCATTTGGAAGGCGTGACACCATCCCAGACTGCTGCGGGGAACAGTGCTTGGAGGCACTGCAAAACATCTGAGGCAGCAGCCTCTAACCTACACAGGAGGAGGAGACTTTGTGCCTCTTGGCAAGAGGTCTGCAGGGCCTTAGTTCCCTGGTTTTTGGAGAAACACTCCCTAAATTCACAGAAACTGGTTTCCTGGAAATCGGTGTTGCTAAGGTGATGTTGTAGATAGAAGAGAGCAAAAATGCAGTGGGAAAAAGACTCACTTCTGCATTTTCTTGAAATGCTCCATGGCTAAATTCCTCAATATCCTCTGGTCCCACTGCTGGAAGAAGGAAGAGAGCCAGCAAGATGCAGTGATCATCCCTCCAAGCAGTGCAGCTCCTGCCAGTCTGTTTCACTCTCACATCTGACTCGCGTTTTGAAAAACTCCTTAATGAGTCTCTGTGCTTCTTCCTTCACTGCAAGAGAAGCAGCACCCCCTTTGACATGATACTTAGACACGTACCCCTGCTGCAGACATCACCTCATCGAGCATCCCAATAACCAACTCACCAGTCTTGCGAGCAGGGTTCTGATCTTCAGTCAGTAAGTGAGACAGGTGCCGAGCAAAGCCCTTAAACAGGTCCTGCAGGGGTGGGGAGGATAAAGAGCAGCAAGGAGACATCAATAATTTCACCAGACTTATTTCTGCATTTGTTCTGCCCTGAGCATAGACTGGCTGTAGCACAAAGCATCCACAGATTTATACTGATTTATACTACAGGACTGCTACAAGCCTGCAAACTCACCCAACCCTGTAGTGTGTGCCATGCACACACATGTTGCCTTGTAGAAAACATCATGTAAACCAGACTAAAACTCAACTTCATCTGCTGCCACTCCACAGCACGAGTTCCTAAAATCTTGCTAGTGCTTAGTACAAAAACATGAGCAATAACAAGTGCAGGACTGACAAGATACCACTTCAAATTACACACAAATCCTTTCTTGCAAGAGAGGAACTGCTGCACCTACCCATCAAAGACATGACCTGGAAATGAAATGTGGTACCATTATCATATTTCCCTTTTCAGAGCCCCAGATCACTAGGGAGATGCAGTTTCCTTCTGCTACAGAAGTTGTTGGGCTGTACCTACCTTGGAAGCAAATTTGCCACCCTTGTAGAATGGGGTCAAATATTTAACAACGATGTCTGCTGTCTCTTTGAGGGACATGCTTTTGGCCACAGGTTGTATGGTCTTGCTGGCTCCTTCTTTATCACTCTGCAATAAGTTTGGATCAAAAGTCACCTTCTTCTTTGTCAGACCCACACTTTTGCTTTCTGGCTGGGACAGAATAGAAGATTTTGCTGCTGTTCGCATCCGCTTTGTTGCAGGACTTTCTGTATCCTGGAGATGGGACAGAAGAAAACCAAAACCACCAATTCCTGCATCAGTGTTCTGAGAAAAGGAATCTTTGCAGCATCCTGCAGGCTCTTCCTACATGAATACCATGCAAGGAGTCTATGCAACTCCTTCTTGGGCACATTAAGCTCTGCAGACATAATATACTTTCTTAGACTGGCTTTGAAAACACCCTTCAAAGCTACTACCTATTTCTTCCTGCTCTTACTAAGGCAGCTAATTGCAAGACCCTGTTTTATACAGGAAAGGCTGGCAGGAAAAGATTTCCTTACATCCCTCAGGAAGAATCAGCCTCTTCAGAAGTGCCACAGCCCTGTTCAACAACAAAAAAGCAAGAAGCAAACAGCACTGTTCATTACAGACAGCTCCTAGGCAGTCTTGGATGCCAAAACAAGAAGCAGAGACTGACTGTCAAGAAAGGCTGTGTGCATGATTCACTTCTGAGTAGTCCCATGGGCCACTGAGATGTGGTTGTTCCCAAAACTTGAGAAAGCACCTTTCTAAATATAGTTAGTTACAGATCTAGAAAGGGTGGAGAGTTTCATTCCAGGCAAGTTATCAGCAAAAGGTACAGTCACAGAAAAGAAACAAAGCAGAGTGGAGCAGAAGCTTTTCACTGCAGTCTGAACTGCTGGCATTCGTTCTGGGGGCAGCAGGGTGACACCAAGAGGCTCATCAACAGTTCTCCTCTCCACTGTAACTGTAGCTGGGCCGTCCCGAGGTAAATAATGCTATCAGGTGAAGATCAGACCAGGAAAATCACTCCAAGTGAGAACCTTGGCACAAGGTAAGCAGAAATAGTCAAAATCAGCATACACTGAAGTCTTACCTCATCTGATCCTTGTCGCTTCCCACTCTGCCCTTCCCCAACAACAGCTTGTTCAGTTTCTGTGACACTTTCAGCAACACTAATGGAAAGAGTGGAAAGAAGGACAATTTTCAGTGGCCATGAGATTCTCCATGGTAAAGCAGGAAGTTTCCTCACCAGCCTATATATCTAATATGGATTCCCAGTTTCCAAGACCAGGCTGGCAGGGCCCTGCAGCTAACTAACAGGGCAACACAGAGAGGAGAGAGGTGGAGATTTTACCTCGATGCATCAAGTTCTTCCTGAAGGAGTTTACATTCAGCAGCCTGCTGGGTCTTACAGCCCTCCTCCCTCTCAGTCAGTGTTCCTTCTGTCTCTCCCAGCTCCTCATTCTCCCCCTGGGACTGTCCTGTCACATCTCCTCCAGGGGTGTCTTTGTTTTCCTGAGTTATAGATTTCTCTTGACATATGCTTTGAGAAGAAACCTGAGGTAGTGTGCTTGCAGTACAGCTGACATCCTCTGTTGAGCTGCAACTTTTGGCTTTAGACCCACCTTTGGAAAGGGAGAAGAACTTGGAAATATCCTGTGATTCTTTTTTGGCCGCTTCTGCCAGCATTTGCTGCTTTTTGCTGGGTTTGGTCCTCTTAACAGAGCTATCCTCAAGGACAGCTTTTGTGTCTGGACTGGTTTGCTGTTCCTTCTTCTCAGGAAGAACAACTACTACCTCAGCACTCTCACACACTGCTTTGGTTGCTCGCTTTTTTTTCTGGAAAACAGTGGATTTTGTGTCCAGTTCCAGACTGCAGTTGCTGTTGTCTTGTTTCTTTGGACAATCTTCTTTTTTGACAAGTTTTGTATCACTATCTTCCTGGATCTTCAGCAGTTCTGAAGCTGTCTGGAACAAACCGGACTTCTTTGGAAAGCCAGCTCCCACACGCTTGGGTTTGAACTAAGGAGAAAGGAAGGAGAAGATATTTATGACTTTTGTGGTCTGTGTGCAGAACTCTGAAAGGAGACAAGCTTATGAGTACAATACACTGCAGTGCATACAGCTGTAAGCTGAGGATGACTCTAAAATTGACTCAGCATCATGACCATCAACTGAGACATCAGGGAAATGGATTAGGCTAAAGTCATAGTTCCACAGTAAGGAAACAAACTGCATCTTTGGTAAGGTAAGATCAAAAAAAAGAAATGCATTGTACAGCCTGCAGATAGGTTCTCCTTTAGGAACCAGCATGGTGTTGTTCTTACTACAAAAACAAAAGGTGGATAAAGAAAGCAATTCCAGTCTGAGTTATAGTGATGGCAATAAAAAAACCTAAAACAATCATGAAAAAGCAGGTAGATAAGCCATATCTCATCTATCCCATCTGTGCTCACTCACCGAGTAAACTTGGGATGCAGG